TACTACTATTAGAAGCAGAAAAATTAGCTTTACAACTTTTGTTAAAGCAAAAAAAAAATTTACTTAATAAAAAAAAACTTTTATATGTAAGCAAGCCACATTCCTGTACTATAGAAAAAACATATAGATTTCCGATTTTGTTTATTATAAAATGTTGATCATTTTGTACCCTTTAACTGCGATCTACCAATTAAATATATATATATATATATATTTCAGTATTAAGGTGACCTCTTTGGCCAAAAAAAACTTTTTATTAGAAATCAATAATACTGGTTACAACAAAAATACAACTAGCCACTGTGCTTTTGGCACCGTCTACACTAGATACCTGTACCTGCAGCCCAAACTAAAACTACCTATTTAAACCTTCTGATCTTTACTATATATACCATTTTATTCTAACCAAGGGACTACTACGATTACAGCTCATCCTATGTAGATTTCACATCCCACCTTAGGATATTTGTGGATTTATTCTGGGTTTGCATTGACTAATTTCCAGCTTGCATTCCTCTATGGAGTAGATACTACAGCTATTCTCAAGGTAAACCTACTAGAGCTTTCCATACCTCATTCTGGCCAGCCTAGTCTTCATAGTCTCCAAAGATTCCACTTGTAGTATAGCTTAGTGACTGCTATACCTTTATAAGGTTCACTTTTCACCCTGATACCTATATTTGGACTTTCCTTTTTCTATTATTTCCTAACCGGTCCATCTCTTACTTCTAACCAACAACCCAGAAGGTTCGACTTTGACCCGGCTCTAGGTGCCTTTGGCCTGTCTCATCTTGGTTTGTACTTCTGTAGCATATACATTTTTCTTCAACTCAAGAGTTTTTAGTCCTCTAGTGTACCCAGCCTATTTTTTTGGCACATGTCTTATAACCTGTGTTTTTCAATCTGCAAGTCTGCTAGAGGTAGGGCCCCCTGTTACTAGTTTTCCAAGCCAGTGACCTGGTTGGTATGCACTATATACGTCTGTCAATTTCCAGTTTTCTAAATTGATAGTTTGGTTGGTGAATTCCCCACTTAAGAATCTTTTGTTATTCAGTTCATTAGTCTCAATCCTAACTTCCAAATTCGGTCTTTTCTGTAGCACTGTCAAAGGTTTCAGCTACCTCCTTACTTGGGGTTTCCAAATAGGTATTGATCATTCTGATTATCTGGATTTTATACACCAAAGCTCCTATTCTAAATGGTGTACCAAACAACCAATCAGCAAATAATTATACCAAACACAGGTCCATTTTTCAATATTATCATATGTGGGATTTGAACTCTAAACCTGCCACTTGGGGTAATAACTCTACCACTTCACTATGTTGCTACACCCCAAATATTTAAATATATTTGCTAATTTATTTATTTATTAATTTAAATTTTTTAAAGAATAATTATTAAAATAGCCCATGGTGACAATCACTATGGTCATGTGATTATACTAGATATATAATACACAATCATGTATTATAGATAGTTAACTTAACTTCTTTATCTTATAAAAATTTATTATTAGTTTACTGCAATTTTGTCTCTGTTATTTACTCTTTCACTATTATTGTTGTAGTTTTATTCTTCATTGTTGTGTTCTCTTTAGCGATGTGTAGTGTTAAAATATCTCTCACCAACACTAAATTACTATCTGCTTTCTTATATTACACTGATTTACTGTATTTACATCTCTGTTACTTGCTCTTTTGGTATTGTATTTTTTTCTGCTGTAGTACTCTTTTGTTATAGTTTTTACTTGTTGCTTTTATGATGCATTGTACTAATAATACTTTTTATATTACTACTAAATTACTGTGATCACATCTTTGCTTACTTTTTTGAATATTCTATAGAATAGATAGGCAAACTCCACAAACTTCACAACTCTGCTAAATATTTATTAATGATTATTAATTATTGGCAAAGTTTATTTTTTATATTGCCCACCTATTCTATAGAACATCTACTTCTTTTACTAATTTTTTTTTTATTACTGTTTTCTTTCTTATATTGCTTTCTTTTACTGCAGTATATTTTTTTACATTTTAGCAACAAATTGTGTTTTTTCTATTACTTGTCTTGTGTTTTAATTGCTGTATTTTTTTTAAGTTGGTTCTTTCTTCTTATAACTTTTAATTATATCTCTAGTGACACATTTACAAATGAAGTTATAGAAGGTAAGGCTGTGGTATTATTTCTTTATAAATGCATTCAAACTGTATATTGGCTTCTTTCTGATAGCTTTTGAATACATACCTTATAGAATTTTCAAATAGTTTTTTGATTGAAGCTACAGATAATATAGATGTATAATTAGATATTTCAAAAGCAAATGAAAAAAAGATCTGTACAACTCTTTCCTGTATACATTCGGCAAGAATAGAGTTATCACCAAAAAACAAAATACCTACTCCAAACAATAAAGAAAACTTTTTCAAATCAAGTCCAGTAAGAGCCAAGGCCCTCATACCAAAGAAGAGAAGTCTCTCTCACTTTACACTTTCAAAAACAACTTGCAAAAAACTCAAAATAACAGAACCGGTTAAGAAAACTGTTCTTGGTGAAGCAAAGGTCAAGAATCAAAATGACAAAGTTAACCTTCCCCTGCCAGAGGAAGAAGCTTCAAGCATCAATAATACATCTGAAATCTTAAAGAAACCTGATACCACTCTTTATATAAACAAGCAAGAAAGTTGGGCTAACCTGGTTGAGCAGGAGAACCCTTGGGACCTTTCAATCATGTCTCTAAAAGTAAACGAAGAAAGTAAACAAAACATCAAAACAAAACATGTGTTGGTGAAGGACCCGGTTGTAGCAGGTCCCTCACGTAACTACCACGCAAACACGGGGCTTCAACTATTGGAAAATAACCCATATAGGCAATTAGAAAATTTCAATTCTACCCGAACTCTAGATGATGAGAAACCTCAACCTTCTACTCCAAAACAATGGGCAAACCTCTTCTCTAAACTTACTAGAGGACAGGCCACATACTCAACTTTCTCTCCAAGAGAACAAATTAAGTCTAAGAATGATAATGCACTTATCATTGACATATTTCAATCACTAAGCTCATTCAACGAAATTATCTCTTCTCTCCATGAAAGTGCAGGAAAAGATATTGCAGCAATCAAGCAACCCCATAAAAAAGGAGCATGTTCACAATTGGAGATTGTATTTGCAAGCTTTGACTTATTCAAAGAATATGCAACAAAGAGGGCCCGAATTTTTAATAAAACTTACATGGGTTACATCCCAATAGATGCCCGTAAGTCATTCCTATCAGTCAAAATTAGAAATGTTCCATTAGGCAACAGAAACCAAGTTTCAACACTTATCAAAGAAGCCTTCGAAGATATTGGAAAAATCAATTTCATTAAACTTCTCCTGATTGAAGGAACCCCTTACTTAACAGATCAGTAGATCATTGTTTTTGAATTTACAGAAGATCCAGATTTAGAAAAGAATTTTCCTCATTTTATCCATGTCGGGGACAACAAGATTACAACAGAATGGAGGGCAGCCCCCAGTATTTGTTTTTTCTGTGATCAGGAAGGTCATGTTAAGAAAGAATGCAAGCAGCTTCAAGAATCTCCCACTCTCTGGGAACAGTACCGAAAATATAAAAACAAGCCAGAGTTATAAACAATCTCTGAAGTGACAATATTGGTCCCCTTAATATAGAATCCTCAATAATAAACCCAGATATGGACAAGGTAGTAAGAAAGGAATCATCTTCAGAACTGATCGAAAATGACTCTGATATGAAAGAAAATGAGATCACTATTACCTCGCTTGAAAATGCAATCAAAGATACGGTAGAAGCAACAATCGCATCCTCATTGCGAGAGGAAAAGAATAATACTAAAGAGGAGAAAATATTGACAGACAAGGAGTCTGACTCTTCTGATTTCGTTTATATACAATCACCAGTTCCGAATGCCTTGAAGCCTCAGGATCAGAATGCTCCAAGAGATGAACTTATATTAAATAATCCCATTCAAGCCTTTAAAGATTAAGCGAAAGTTAACAAATCTCATGACACCTGATCAGAAGGGGTTGATAAGGATGGTTTTACACCAGTGATGAGTAAGAAAAAACAAAAAAAGAGCAATAATAACAAAACTAGACAGAGCTATCTTAAGACTTCTCCTTACAAAAGACCAAAGGGAGAACACACCTTCCTACTTAACTAAAATATCACTCTTTCTTCATAACAGTAAACAAAAAAGTTTATATAGCAACACTTAATGTAAAGGGGCTTAACAATCAAGAAAAACAATGAAAAACTTTAACTTTACTTAAATCTTATAAACTAGACAT